CCAGACCCTGCACGGCTCCAGCATTCCCAGACCCTGCGGTGTTCCCAGACCCTGCGGCATTCCCAGACCCTGTGGCGTTCCCAGACCCTGCGGCATTCCCAGACCCTGTGGCGTTCCCAGACCCTGCGGTGTTCCAGACCCTGCAGCGTTCCCAGACCCTGTGGCATTCCAGACCCTGCACAGCTCCAGCATTCCCAGACCCTGTGGCGTTCCCAGACCCTGCGGCATTCCCAGACCCTGCGGCGTTCCCAAACCCTGTGGTGTTCCAGACCCTGCATGGCTCCAGCATTCCCAGACCCTGCGGCATTCCCAGACCCTGTGGCGTTCCCAAACCCTGTGGCGTTCCAGACCCTGTGGCGTTCCAGACCCTGCACGGCTCCAGCATTCCCAAACCCTGCACAGCTCCAGCATTCCCAAACCCTGCGGCATTCCCAGACCCTCCAGCATTCCCAAATCCTCCGGCATTCCCAAACCCTCCGGCATCCCCGAACTCTTTCGCATTCCCAAACCCTCCATGGCTCCAGCATTCCCAAATCCTCCAGCATTTCCAAACCCTGCAGCATTCCCAGACCCTGCACAGCTCCAGCATTCCCAAATCCTCCAGCATTCCCAGACGCTCCACAGCTCCAGCATTCCCAAACCCTCTGACGCTCCCAAACCCTCCAGCATTCCCGAACTCTTCGGCGTTTCCAAACCCTCCACAGCGCCAGCATTCCCAAACCCTCCGTGGCTCCAGCATTCCCACACCCTCCAGTATTCCCACACCCTCCAGCATTCCCAAACCCCCCAGCATTCCCAAACCCCCCAGCATTCCCAAACCCCGCTCCACTGGATCCCACCCCACATCCCCAGGGAAGCCAGAGCCTTGCTGTTCCCAGGGCACTCAGGGGATATTCCAGCCGGGAATGCCCCCAGAGCCCGGATTTGGGGACCCCAAGCTGCTCACCTTGGTCATGTCGTGGGGGTCAGGCACCACGAACATCCCTGGGGGCGGCTCCTTGTAGATGGACATGATATCCCTGGAAAAGGGGGGAAAAAACGGGAATGAGCCGGGATCGGCCTGGGGGGGGCGGCGGGGGACGGGATTTAAACCGGGATTTGGGAGGTTTGGGCCCGGCTCTGCGTGAGCCCCTCCAGCAGCCCAGGAATTCCAGAGCACGCCCGGAATCCTCGGGAATCAGGGCTGGAATTCTCAGGAATCACCCCTGGAATCCTGGCTGGAATTCTCAGGAATCCCCCCTGGAATCCTGGCTGGAATTCTCAGGAATCCCCCCTGGAATCCTGGCTGGAATTCTCAGGAATCCCCCCTGGAATCCTGGCTGGAATTCTCAGGAATCCCCCCTGGAATCCTGGCTGGAATTCTCAGGAATCCCCCCTGGAATCCTGGCTGGAATTCTCAGGAATCCCCCCTGGAATCCTCGGGAATCCTGGCTGGAATTCTCAGGAATCCCCCCTGGAATCCTGGCTGGAATTCTCAGGAACCCCCCCTGGAATCCTCAGGAATCCAGGCTGGAATTCCCCCTGGAATCCTTGGGAATCCCCCCTGAAATCCCTCCAGGAATTCCCCCCTGGAATTTCCACACCTCCAGCACCAGGAACTCCAATAAAAATGAAAATCCAACGAAATTCCTGCCGTGAATTCCCCCGGATGCTCATCCCCACAGGAGGGGAACGCTCCAGACCCCAGCCTGGGCAGGGGATCCCCCAGCATTCCCAGCCCCTGCACGGCTCCAGCATTCCCAGACCCTGCACGGCTCCAGCATTCCCAGACCCTGCAGCATTCCCAGACCCTGCGGCGTTCCAGACCCTGCGGCGTTCCCAAACCCTGCACGGCTCCAGCATTCCCAGACCCTGCGGGGTTCCCAGACCCTGCGGCATTCCCAGACCCTGTGGCGTTCCCAGACCCTGCGGTGTTCCAGACCCTGCAGCGTTCCCAGACCCTGTGGCATTCCAGACCCTGCACAGCTCCAGCATTCCCAGACCCTGTGGCGTTCCCAGACCCTGCGGCATTCCCAGACCCTGTGGCGTTCCCAGACCCTGCGGTGTTCCAGACCCTGCAGCGTTCCCAGACCCTGTGGCATTCCAGACCCTGCACAGCTCCAGCATTCCCAGACCCTGTGGCGTTCCCAGACCCTGCGGCATTCCCAGACCCTGTGGCGTTCCCAGACCCTGCGGTGTTCCAGACCCTGCAGCGTTCCCAGACCCTGTGGCATTCCAGACCCTGCACAGCTCCAGCATTCCCAGACCCTGTGGCGTTCCCAGACCCTGCGGCATTCCCAGACCCTGCGGCGTTCCCAAACCCTGCGGCGTTCCCAGACCCTGCGGCATTCCCAGACCCTGTGGCGTTCCCAAACCCTGTGGCGTTCCCAAACCCTGCGGCATTCCCAGACCCTGTGGCGTTCCCAGACCCTGCGGCGTTCCAGACCCTGCACGGCTCCAGCATTCCCAAACCCTGCACAGCTCCAGCATTCCCAAACCCTGCGGCATTCCCAGACCCTCCAGCATTCCCAAATCCTCCGGCATTCCCAAACCCTCCGGCATCCCCGAACTCTTTCGCATTCCCAAACCCTCCATGGCTCCAGCATTCCCAAATCCTCCAGCATTTCCAAACCACTGAGGGGATATTCCAGCTGGGAATGCCCCCAGAGCCGGGATTTGGGGACCCCAAGCTGCTGTTCCCAGGGCACTCAGGGGATATTCCAGCCGGGAATGCCCCCAGAGCCGGGATTTGGGGACCCCAAGCTGCTGTGCCCAGGGCACTCAGGGGATATTCCAGCCGGGAATGCCCCCAGAGCCGGGATTTGGGGACCCCAAGCTCCAGCATTCCCAAACCCCCCAGCATTCCCAAACCCCCCAGCATTCCCAAACCCCGCTCCACTGGATCCCACCCCACATCCCCAGGGAAGCCAGAGCCTTGCTGTTCCCAGGGCACTCAGGGGATATTCCAGCCGGGAATGCCCCCAGAGCCCGGATTTGGGGACCCCAAGCTGCTCACCTTGGTCATGTCGTGGGGGTCAGGCACCACGAACATCCCTGGGGGCGGCTCCTTGTAGATGGACATGATATCCCTGGAAAAGGGGGGAAAAAACGGGAATGAGCCGGGATCGGCCTGGGGGGGGCGGCGGGGGACGGGATTTAAACCGGGATTTGGGAGGTTTGGGCCCGGCTCTGCGTGAGCCCCTCCAGCAGCCCAGGAATTCCAGAGCACGCCCGGAATCCTCGGCAGGGGATCCCGGCAGGAATTCCAGGGGATCCAGGCTGGGAATTCCATGGGATCCGGGCTGGGAATTCCAGGGGATCCCGGCAGGAATTCCAGGAGATCCCGGGCAGGAATTCCAGGGGATCCCGGCAGGAATTCCCTGGGACACAGCGAAGGGTCCCTGCCCAAGGACCCTCCCAGCCCAAACCTGTCCGGGACCCTCCAGGGCACCGGGGCTGAGCCCGGGAGAGCCCCGGGACACCGGGAAGGAGCGGCGCTGCCCCCGTGCCTGTCCCGGGACACCGGGAAGGAGCGGCGCCTGTCCCGGGACACCGGGAAGGACCGGCGCTGCCCCCGTGCGTGTCCCGGGACACCGGGAACGACCGGCACCTGTTCCCGTGCCTTTCCTGGGACACCGGGAACGACCGGCACCTGTTCCCGTGCCTTTCCTGGGACACCGGGAAGGACCGGCACCTGCCCCCGTGCGTGTCCTGGGACACCGGCAGGGCCCGGCGCTGTCCCCGTGCGTGTCCCGGGACACGGACCGGCGCCTGTCCCCGTGCGTGTCCCGGGACACCGGGAAGGACCGGCACCTGCCCCCGTGCGTGTCCTGGGACACCGGCAGGGCCCGGCGCTGTCCCCGTGCGTGTCCCGGGACACGGGCCTGTCCCCGTGCGTGTCCCGGGACGCCGGCAGGGCCCGTTACCGGCCGCGGGGCCGAGCCGAACGCCCGCGCCGCGCTCCGTGCCCGGGCCCCGCGCCGCCGCCGCTCACCGTTTGATCCGCAGCAGGCAGGCCGGGCTGGGCCGCTCGCTGTCCCAGTCGCCGCTGACCGTGGGGTCCCAGAAGGCGGAGTGCGTGAGGAGCGCGGCCCCCGCCGCCGCCGCCGCCATCGGGGCGCCGCCGCCGCCGGGGGCCAC